CCAGGCGTCTGCAATCCTACCCCCCCCCCAAAACACACGCAGACTCTCACCCCCCCAGGGCACCCAGGCGTCCGGGCTCCTGGCCCCGGTCCCGGTTTCACCCCCTGTGGGAGGGGAGGGGTGCTCCCTGTGCTGCCCCAGATGCATCCAGGTCTGGGGTGGAGCAGCTTGGGAACAGCCACAGACAACACGGCGGGGGTGGAGGGGCATCACCTGGGGCTGAGATGCAGCCACTTCTGGCGGTGGGGGTGGACAGGGTAGTATTCAACAGCAAGGGAAGAGTCTGGCAGGGACTGCAGCCAGCTCTGGGGTGGAGCAGCTGAAAACAGCATAGAGGAGTGCAGATGCGCCCAGCTCGGGTGCAACTAGAGGGAAGAAGGGCTGCATATAACAGCAGGGGCAGGGCACTGGGATGCAGCCAGCTCTGGGGTGAGTGCGGCTGCAGAGAACAGCCAGGGAAGGGGCTGCCTGGCACACAGGTGCAGTCAGCTCTGGGATGGAGCTGCTAAAAACAGCCACACAACACATCAAGGAGGCAGCCAGCTCTGCGGAGGACATAGCTGCATATGACACCCCCAGAGGGGCTCCCTGGGGGTGAGGTTAGACCAGCTCCAGCGGGGGGCAGCAGGGCAACAGCTGCATAGAACGGACCATCAAGGCAAGGGTGATGTGCCCAGCTTTGGGGTGCAAGTTGGGGGGAACAGCAGCACCGAACAGCGGGGGGCCTGCGGTGTGCCCAGGTCCTGCGGTGTGCCCAGGTGGGGGGGAGGGGTGGGGCCCGTTGCGCTTGGCTGGGGGTGGCAGCACAGCTTGTAATTAGCGCTGGGGCCTGTAATTAGTGCCTGAGAGAGGCCCACCCGGACGCCTGGGTTCTCTCCAGCTTGGGAGCCTGGGGGAGGGGAAGCAGGGCATGGCAGGGCAGGGCAGGGCACAGCAGGACAGGGCAGGGCAGGGCAGGGCAGAGATGCCTTGGCCAGTGCCCCCCCCTTACCTGCTTGTGTCTCAGTGTTCCCACCCCCAGCAATGGGTGCAGAAGCTAAAGGGGAGGGGGTTTACATCCCCTGCTCCCCACAGCCCAGGAGCCCCTCCTACCTGCTGGAGAGAACCCAGGTGTCCAGGCTCTCAGCCGTGCCCCGCCCTCCTAGAGCTGCAGAAAACCCAGACATCCGGACCCCGGTCGTGCCCCACACAACCCAAACAGCCCCCAGGTCACCTCCCCATACCCAGCCACCCCCACCTACCCCCCAAAAGCCCCTCCAAAACCAGAGACCCCACCCCCATGAACACAGGAGGACTAGGAGCACCCAGATGCCTGGGTTCCCTTCCCTACATACCTTGCCCCTGCCTCAGTTTCCCTGCCCACCCCCCATACAGCCAAGCCAGGCAGGGTGGGGGGCATAACCAGGCTTTATTGAGC